CTCTCTCTCTCTCTCTCTCTCTCTCTCTCTCTCTCTCTCTCTCTCTCTCTCTCTCTCTCTCTCTCTCTCTCTCTCTCTCTCTCTCTCTAACCTACATCCACGTGGGCGGCCTTGTACGCAAGAGGTTTTGAACAAGGGGAGTCTTGTAAGGAAGAAGATAAAAAATGAATTTATTTCTTCTTTTTTTCGCGTTTGCGCTCTGATAAATTTGTGACGATATATATATAAAACACAGAGTTTGAGATATATTTTAAGGGGGGTGACGGCTGTGCGATATCCTCACCGAGCTGGCTGGCTCCAGGCAATTCATTTCATTCCAATCATCGAGATTGTTAGGTTCATACCATAGGGATTCGGACTCCGGTACTAGCGATTTCAACGGTTGGAGGGGTGTGCCATCTGACCTACAAGGCTCGTTGAAATGGCTACCTTCTTCCCCCGAATACAACGTACGGTCATTATAGCTGTATTTAGACTGAAAGATACCCCAAATTGAGCTATAATGACCGGCGTACGTTGTATTCGGGGGAAGGCGGTAGTAATAGATTGCGACAATACTTCGGAGAAGTTTGGACTCACGTATATCATTATTCAATATTTGACGAAATCATTTATTAAATTTAAATGAATTGAAAATTGCGACAATGTCGATTCGTGTATTACTACAGTCGATTCGTGTATGAGTACAGTCTTCCCCCGAACATAACGCACCGTGAAAAGGAAAGTATACAAGGTATGTTTCAGGGCAGATACAGTCAGAATGAGGGTGGGTTGTGTTCGGGGGAAGACGGGTAGTAATAGATTGCGAGAATTTCGATGCATCATGCATGTGTATATTTCAATCATTTCGATTCTCCTTTCCCAAAAAAAAAATAAGAAAAAAAAAAAGGGGAAAAAAAAATCATTTCGATTCCAGTCGATTCCATTTGAGCTCTGATGATAAAGTTGAATGGGAAGAGAATTCGATGGAATCAAAGTGATGGAAATTTATAGGGCCTGGCCGCGCGGCACACAAAACAGGAAAAAAGCTGAGTGCACCTGCCCACGAAATGTGGCAAAATACGTTCGTAACTATTTATAGCGAACGGATGAACCTGTCCATTTTCTATGGGAAGGTGCACTCGTTTCGTTTTCCGTTTCGTGTGCCGTGCGGCGACGCCCATAGATTGATTGCACACGAATGTTGCCGAATTGAATGGAACCGAACGGAAGAACGAGTGCATCTGCTCACGAAATGTGGCAAAATACATTCGTTACTAACGGATGAACCTGTCCATTTTCTGTGGCAAGTTGCACTCGTTTCGTTTTCCGTTTTTCGTGTGCTGTGCGGCGGCGCCCGCAGATTGATTGCACACGAATGCTGCCAATTGAATTGAACTGAGCGGAAGAACGAGTGCATCTGCCCTCGAAATGTGCCGAAATACATTCGTTACTAGTTATAGTAAACGGATGAACCTGTCCATTTTCCGCGGAAGATGCACTCGTTTCGTTTTGCGTTTCGTGCACACGAATGCTGTCGAATTTGAATTGAACCCAACGGAAGGAAAGACCATTTTATTGGGCCAGTGGCAGGTTCCGTTTCTTCTTTTCGTCATTGGGAAAGGTTTGCGTTCGTGCCCCTATAAGATGCGGTATAGCTTTGCGTTTTGCCCCTGAAAGATTAGCACTTCCTTTAACTTTGTGCGCTTCCTATTTTGCAACCTTTCTGGCAAGCCCCTGTGGACCTTGTGGGATGGCTGCGCAATTTTAAGCCATGCCCCTGGCCAGGCTGGCCCCTGTTGCACGCCAGGAAGTCGGATTCTCGATTTGCCCCAGGGCCCAGGCCTGTACCTGGTGGGCAACTTCGCCACTTGCCCCTGGGCCGCCATATCGGACCGCAGCTTTGATGGCCCAATTCAAACGTTTCCACAGGCCCA